TCTATTTTCTCTATTAAATTTGGAATATTAATATTAACTTTCGGATTAACTTTAAAGTCAAATTTAAATAGATCTCAACTGTTTTGTTTATCTTTTGACATTTAAATTGTATTGTACTTTATTATATAGATGTTTCAAACTTGATTAATAGATATAATTTACAACTGCTATTTTAAGACCTTATAATTAACACAGTTAAAAATTATGAAATTTGTCTTATATTTTTGCATAGAATATAATTTTTTAAATTATTTTTTGCTAATTTTCATAGATGTATTTATATAATCTAGTGCCTTTAGGGTGCTCTTATTCTTATATATGTATTTTTAATTTTATCATTTTTGCGTCTGATCTTGTTCTAGCTCTTGCTCAATGCAATCTAGGTTTTAATATCCAATTAAAATGAACTTTTCTCGTTTTGTGCACGAGCTCAAAACCATCTATATAATAAAACACATAAAAAATTAAATTTTATCCCTTATATATTTTTCTTCCCAAAATTATCATATCACTTATTTTTATTACATGTTTAATTTATGTAATAAAATACATAGGAAGTTAAATTTTATCTCCTATACATTTTCTCTCCCCCCAAAACCATCATATTACCTATTTTTATCACATATTCAATTATTTAATATTTGATTAATTCATAGTTTAACATAATTTTTATTTTAGATATTATCCATATACGATAGTATATATAAGTTGAAATTTTTTTATCAAATTACATATTTTCAGAAAATTTTGTCATAGTTTTTAAAAAATAATGGGTAAAAATAAATTTTGAATGATATAATCAAAGAAATAAAGGAACAAAAAATTATTATTTAATATAGTGATATTAATTTTTTAGGGCTCGAATTTTATATTTTATTGTGTCTTTAAATACGAGTTATGACTATTAAAAAAATAAAGCAAAAAAAACAATAAACAACTTTATATGGTTCTGCCCAAAAGCCTCCGTTGAAGAACGAAGTACAATGTCACTCTAAAATAGAAAGGGGGTCAAAACAAAACGACAGCAAAAGTACACCTACTCCTCACTACGACCAAAAAAATTATAATAATAATAAGGAACTTTTGATTCATGTGATCCAAACCCTTTTTTTAAAAGGATATATTCATTTGAAAAAACTCATTTACACTAATTTAAATAAAAATAAAAAATTTAATTCTATTCATAAAAATTACATATTTCAAAATTCAAAAAAATTCATATCTTCTACATCTGTGCGTGTGAAAAAAATTGGACAGTGAAAATGAAAATAGCGATATCATTGTCTAAATTCACTGTCATTTCTGTTTAGAGAAAACTAGAGCAATGAATCAATAAACAATCTAAAGAATTCTAAGCAGAAGATTAATGAAGTCTATCAAAAAATCAGCCAACCATAGTCATTATCGGTGATGCCAACTGATGATTGTAAAATAAGCATGAGTTCAGAAAAGTCCTAGTTTAGCACAGTTTGACACATTCAAAACTAGTTGGGATTCTTATGCCACAGAGAGTCCATATCAGCTCCAATTCTGACATCGCCTTTATTCAAGCAGATGATAGAACTCTCCAGTAGTCAAATATGCTAGCCTATAAAAGGGACAAGTTAGGGATCATCCAGGTAAGTCTTCACTCTTATCTAAATACAATTACTCTCAATAATTTCTCTCTAACTTTATCTNGTGATGGTGGTGGTTGATGTGGAAGAGGTGGTGGTGAGGTTGTAGTGATGGGGGCGACAGTGGTGGTGGTGGTANGGATCATCCAGGTAAGTCTTCACTCTTATCTAAATACAATTACTCTCAATAATTTCTCTCTAACTTTATCATCATAAGGTCGACCATTGGAATCCCTCCAGTTCTCGGACTTCTCTTGTAGGGTCCCCCCAAAGACAATCAAGGTGTAATNGGTAGGGTGGCGGCAGCTATAGTCATGGTCGAGAGGTAGGTGGGGGTGGTGGTGGTTGTTGTTGTTGTAACAAAGGTGGTAGCGATGGTGGTAGCTGTGATGGTGGTGGTAGGGGTAGTTGTAGTGGTGGGGTGACGATGGTGGTGGTAATAATGATGGTGGGTGGGGGGTTAAGGTGGGATAGTTCTAAACACTAATTTTTTTTTGAAGTGCTTATGAAAAGTTAAAAGTTTTAAAAGAACTTTTAAAAATTTACTCCAAACACATTCTTATGCGTCTATTTTCTCTATTAAATTTGGAATATTAATATTAACTTTCGGATTAACTTTAAAGTCAAATTTAAATAGATCTCAACTGTTTTGTTTATCTTTTGACATTTAAATTGTATTGTACTTTATTATATAGATGTTTCAAACTTGATTAATAGATATAATTTACAACTGCTATTTTAAGACCTTATAATTAACACAGTTAAAAATTATGAAATTTGTCTTATATTTTTGCATAGAATATAATTTTTTAAATTATTTTTTGCTAATTTTCATAGATGTATTTATATAATCTAGTGCCTTTAGGGTGCTCTTATTCTTATATATGTATTTTTAATTTTATCATTTTTGCGTCTGATCTTGTTCTAGCTCTAGCTCAATGCAATCTAGGTTTTAATATCCAATTAAAATGAACTTTTCTCGTTTTGTGCACGAGCTCAAAACCATCTATATAATAAAACACATAAAAAATTAAATTTTATCCCTTATATATTTTTCTTCCCAAAATTATCATATCACTTATTTTTATTACATGTTTAATTTATGTAATAAAATACATAGGAAGTTAAATTTTATCTCCTATACATTTTCTCTCCCCCCAAAACCATCATATTACCTATTTTTATCACATATTCAATTATTTAATATTTGATTAATTCATAGTTTAACATAATTTTTATTTTAGATATTATCCATATACGATAGTATATATAAGTTGAAATTTTTTTATCAAATTACATATTTTCAGAAAATTTTGTCATAGTTTTTAAAAAATAATGGGTAAAAATAAATTTTGAATGATATAATCAAAGAAATAAAGGAACAAAAAATTATTATTTAATATAGTGATATTAATTTTTTAGGGCTCGAATTTTATGTTTTATTGTGTCTTTAAATACGGGTTATGACTATTAAAAAAATAAAGCAAAAAAAACAATAAACAACTTTATATGGTTCTGCCCAAAAGCCTCCGTTGAAGAACGCAGTACAATGTCACTCTAAAATAGAAAGGGGGGTCAAAACAAAACGACAGCAAAAGTACACCTACTCCTCACTACGACCAAAAAAATTATAATAATAATAAGGAATTTTTGATTCATGTGATCCAAACCCTTTTTTTAAAAGGATATATTCATTTGAAAAAACTCATTTACACTAATTTAAATAAAAATAAAAAATTTAATTCTATTCATAAAAATTACATATTTCAAAATTCAAAAAAATTCATATCTTCTACATCTGTGCGTGTGAAAAAAATTGGGCAGTGAAAATGAAAATAGCGATATCATAGTCTAAATTCACTGTCATTTCTGTTTAGAGAAAACTAGAGCAATGAATCAATAAACAATCTAAAGAATTCTAAGCAGAAGATTAATGAAGTCTATCAAAAAATCAGCCAACCATAGTCATTATCGGTGATGCCAACTGATGATTGTAAAATAAGCATGAGTTCAGAAAAGTCCTAGTTTAGCACAGTTTGACACATTCAAAACTAGTTGGGATTCTTATGCCACAGAGAGTCCATATCAGCTCCAATTCTGACATCGCCTTTATTCAAGCAGATGATAGAACTCTCCAGTAGTCAAATATGCTAGCCTATAAAAGGGACAAGTTAGGGATCATCCAGGTAAGTCTTCACTCTTATCTAAATACAATTACTCTCAATAATTTCTCTCTAACTTTATCTAAGGTCGACCATTGGAATCCCTCCAGTTCTCGGACTTCTCTTGTAGGGTCCCCCCAAAGACAATCAAGGTGTAATTCAACTCCACCATTTCCCGCNCTATTTTTATCATATATTCAATTATTTAATATTTGATTAATTCATAGTTTAACATAATTTTTATTTTAGATATTATCCATATACGATAGTATATATAAGTTGAAATTTTTTTATCAAATTACATATTTTCAGAAAATTTTGTCATAGTTTTTAAAAAATAATGGGTAAAAATAAATTTTGAATGATATAATCAAAGAAATAAAGGAACAAAAAATTATTATTTAATATAGTGATATTAATTTTTTAGGGCTCGAATTTTATATTTTATTGTGTCTTTAAATACGAGTTATGACTATTAAAAAAATAAAGCAAAAAAAACAATAAACAACTTTATATGGTTCTGCCCAAAAGCCTCCGTTGAAGAACGAAGTACAATGTCACTCTAAAATAGAAAGGGGGTCAAAACAAAACGACAGCAAAAGTACACCTACTCCTCACTACGACCAAAAAAATTATAATAATAATAAGGAACTTTTGATTCATGTGATCCAAACCCTTTTTTTAAAAGGATATATTCATTTGAAAAAACTCATTTACACTAATTTAAATAAAAATAAAAAATTTAATTCTATTCATAAAAATTACATATTTCAAAATTCAAAAAAATTCATATCTTCTACATCTGTGCGTGTGAAAAAAATTGGGCAGTGAAAATGAAAATAGCGATATCATAGTCTAAATTCACTGTCATTTCTGTTTAGAGAAAACTAGAGCAATGAATCAATAAACAATCTAAAGAATTCTAAGCAGAAGATTAATGAAGTCTATCAAAAAATCAGCCAACCATAGTCATTATCGGTGATGCCAACTGATGATTGTAAAATAAGCATGAGTTCAGAAAAGTCCTAGTTTAGCACAGTTTGACACATTCAAAACTAGTTGGGATTCTTATGCCACAGAGAGTCCATATCAGCTCCAATTCTGACATCGCCTTTATTCAAGCAGATGATAGAACTCTCCAGTAGTCAAATATGCTAGCCTATAAAAGGGACAAGTTAGGGATCATCCAGGTAAGTCTTCACTCTTATCTAAATACAATTACTCTCAATAATTTCTCTCTAACTTTATCTAAGGTCGACCATTGGAATCCCTCCAGTTCTCGGACTTCTCTTGTAGGGTCCCCCCAAAGACAATCAAGGTGTAATTCAACTCCACCATTTCCCGCAGAGCTCGGTGTGCAATTTTCGACATCAACGGTTGGCGCTTGTGGGAAGCAAAAGTTTTCCATTCTATTATAAGATCGATGGCCTATTAATAGGTCAAATGATTCGGAAACCTAAACCGAGAAGCTAGGCAATCAAGTTCACACCCTGTTAACGAGCGGAATCTAACGCCGCCACAAATTGGGAAAAACTATGGAAGAGCTGGTTAACCAAAGCTGACAGATATTGCAACTCTTAACTAACAAGTAGTATCCATAAAAGAGTTTGCCCAATTTTTAGGAACAACATGATGAAAATTAGGAGTTAAGGGGCAAAGCCAAAATGAAGTGGCTAACCCACAAGTCAATGACTAATGGGAATGAAAGTTCTAAGAGGTCAATGTCAAATTGGGTAATGTTATGAATATGATGAAAGCACACGTCCTAAAGGCAGTTGAGATGTTGGTCCAACACACTGAGTCCCCTTTCACTCCCGATGTTTTCAACTACCCTCTCCCTCTTAGATTCACAATGCCGATGATCAAAAGTTTCGATGGCTTGAGAGACTCCCTCGATCACCTAGAGACCTACAGGTCCCTTATGATGTTCAATAATATCCCATACCAGATAATGTGCAAGGCCTTTGTAACCACTCTCACATGAACTGCTAGGCATTGGTTCAATAAGCTAAAGCCAGGTTCGATCAGTTATTTTGTAGAATTAATTACTTCGTTCATCTTTTACTTCATAGGTGGAAGGACACTCAAAAAGCTTCCCACCTATCTTCTCAAAGTGAAACAAGGAAGGAACGAACCACTCAGAGCCTACGTCAACAGATTCATAACTGAATCCCTCCAAATCGATCGTGTAGATGATACAGTGGCACTCACCACATTCATGGGAAGACTCTTGCCCCCCAATTCTTCTTTGTGTTGTCCAAAGATCCATAATCAAGTATGAAGAAACTACTCTCGAGAGCACAAAGTTATATGAATGCTGAAGACATAGTCCTTGCTCGCTAGAACTAGGAGGAAAGATAAGAGTACGGGAAAAATGTGAGCAACCACACAAGAAAGGTAAGGAAGCTAGCCTAAAGATGAACCGCACCAAGTGAGTTAGCTCCACAGATCATCTGTGGCCTTGTACTCAAGATGATTTGGCTAGGATGAACAAGCCTTGAAATGGCCATCGAAGTTGTGAACTAATCCAAATTGGAGGTCTAGAGACAAGTATTACAGGTTCCATCATGACCATAGTCACAAATACCAAAGACTACATAGTTCTCAAAGATTAGATACAAGACCTCATTCAAAAAGGGCACGGGCACCTCGGAAGGTTAATCAATCGTAGATGCCATTAAAGGATAGGTAAACCCGAAAAAAAGGTTGTGCACAAGCTAGCCTATCTCTTTATCTCATGATGACTTCATGGAAATCCAGTATCCTCATGATGACCCGTTGGTAGTAACACTGACCATCACAATTATTTGGTACAAAGATCCCTTATAGATAGTGTGAGCTTAATGGACATCATATTCACTCATGCCTTTGACAAATTAGATATCAACAAGGAGAAGTTGGTACTAGTTAGTGCTTTGTTGATTGGATTCTCAGGAGAAAAAGCCTACCCATTGGGAGCCATTGTTATCTCAGTCACCATCAGGCGAGCTCCAACTCAAACTATAGTAATGGTCAATTTTCTGAGATGCCCTTGCCTCAACCAATTGAAGGCTTTCCCTGTAAAATATTTTCCCTTGATGCATTTTCCAACCTAGACGGGGATATGAGAAGTTAGAGGTGATCAAGTGGCAGCTCGAGAATGCTATGTGGTGTCTAGAGGGACAAGTAGCAACAAGAGACCATGTAGGTAGAGCTAATGCATCACGGAGGTGATGACGAGCATCCCCAGCCAGTAGAGGAGTTGGAATCAAGTCAGATTGAAGGACAATCCAAGAAGCCCATTTATGTGGGAAAAATGCATGGGGGAACTTTGAGGCAACTACTTGTGGAATTCTTAAGGGCGAACAGTGATGTTTTCATTGGAAGCTGTTGGACATAAGAGGTATTGGCCCTTTAATTACAGAGCACAAGATGAATTTCAGACCTATTTTTAATCCAATTCGATAGAAACATAGGAGCTTCGCTCTAGAGCGAAATAAAGTTATAAGGAGGATGTGCTTAAGCTCCTTGGGGCGGGCTTGGTAAAACCCGAGAAAAATTTGAACTTTAATGAAAAAGGGAATATTGATAATTAGCTGCTATGGTACGGGTTGAAAACTTGAATTTTTCTAGAATTTGGATGATGAACGAACCTCATCGTTGGATTCATCTCGCGAAAATCTAATTACCTAGTCAATTTTCATCGAATTCTGAAATAGTCAGATTTCTTATATTTTACAATTCGATCAGATGTCACGTGACAAAAATAAACGCGATTAAGTTTTATTTGTGAAATACAAAAAATAATTTAAAGTTAGTTTATATAAAATATGTTGAACATTACACGGGACAAAATTTAATTGATTCGGTATAAAATCGAATCAGGAAAGACAGGACGTGTGACGCATTGTGAGCCAAGTATCCAAGGGGTATAAAAAGGAGAAAAATTAGATCTTTCCCCCATTTATGGCTGCTGGGTTTTTCAGAAAAGAGAAGGGGAGAGAAGAGAGAGAAATGAGGATTTCTTCAAGCTTCTCTCTACGATCTAGGGCCAACTGTTCGTCGAATCGTTTTGGGCCATGAACAAAAGTTGATCTACGCGATGAGAGCTACACCCATGTACCAAATAGCAAAGATGTTAACGAAGTCTCAATAACGGAATTTTTGAAAATCAAATTCTAAAGCTTGAGTTGGATTTTCTTGGAGTTTCTACCATTCATATTACGCTTTAAGAGGTAGAGTTATTCTCCTAACTAGGTTTATTTCCAACCTAGGGTTGCATATGAAATATGTAGTTTGATTAGAGATGAATTCTCTTATTTGATGTACTCCTAGTGTAACTAGAGTATGAGAAAATGGGTATTGAAATGTGCTAAACCAATCTTGCATGAATTGGGTTTGTGAAAATTGCTTATTGAGTAATTTCATGATTTTGTGTCTTTTGGGTGTTTGATAAAATGCCTATGACTGATTGAGTGTGTTATTTGAATGAAATTCATATAGCATGCTTTGTAATGATGTTGGTATGTAATTATATACTTTAAAATATAAGTTATATTGAGGATTTGGAATTGTTCATATTCTGCTCATGATATGTTAAACATGATGTTGTAATTCCATTTAAAATCTTAGTTGCATATTACATTGCATGTGCACGGGAAGCATCACATTTTTGGCCATGTGCATGGGTGTGGGTGTGTACATGATTTTGATCAAACACCATCCTTGGTGGATTGATACTTGGGCTCAGGAAAATTGGACCAAGGTTCGAATGAGTCGTATTGGTTGCATTGAAAATAGGGTCGGGGTTAATAAAAAGAGCTAGATTATTCCTCGAGTGCAAGACTCAGTGATTTAGATACTCACTTTGTTGGTATCGAGTCCACAAAGTGTGTTAGCGTACGCGAAGCGATTGGTGGAAGTCCATAGATGCAGTATTGGTTGGGTGCCCACTAGTGGAAGTCCATAAATACCCACTCTAAGAAAGACTCAAAATTTATAAATAGCCATTGGATGTGTAACATCAACGGCGGAGACTTGGAATACCTGGATTCATACGCATGACATTGCATGTATTATAGGAGCATGTGGAAGGCTTGAGTTGCGTTGCATGTGTGAGTCACATCTCATAACATGACATAGCATTGTGACATTTATTCTTGCAGCTGTATGTTCTTGGATGAATACTTGTTTGATTGTTGAATCGCATATAATCATTTCATATACATCTAGGTTGGGGAGTAGTCTCTTTTGAAAATACCCTATTGAGTGTGACTCACTCTTTATGGGGGCAATATTTCAAGTGCGGGACAAGTGTCGGTGGACGGTCTCACTTGGACCCTCGTTGATGAAGAAAGTCGAGTATTGGCTTTAGATTACATTTTTGTAAAACAATAGTGTAATTAGTTTTTGTACATGTAATATTGTTTAAAGGGTTGTGTAATGAACATTTATGGACTATCTTCTGAGTATAATTTGATGTTACTTGAGTTTGAGTAAATGTTTATGACATTGGATGAGTTGAAATTGAAAAAAGGATTAAATTGGGGAAAAACTAGGCCCTACTATCGATAGAACGTTGATTAGTTATCGGTAGAAAGTGCCCGAGCTACCGGTAGCTCACTGGTAGTGGGTAGCTAATGGTAGTTCTGGTAGAGAACTCAGCTACCAGTAGCACGTTCACGAGCTACCAGTAGCTTCTCCAAAATTTTTAAAAATTCAAAATAAAATTTTCAAGCTTCAGGCATTGAGCCCTTTTTTTTAAAGGATATAAATGGAGTAATATTAAAGACAAACTGATGTATATTGGACCTTGGAATGATCAAGTGATTAAAATGTATATATGTCATACATTTGGGAGTGCCTGGTACGAGGGAGACTCTGCCCAAACTCTATGTTGGCTATAAAATGTACACACATGTTGCTCACAGACATCCTCTACAACAAATTCTTCAGAATCCAAAATTTTTTGGCCGACTAACAAAGTGGTCCATCGAGCTAGGTGAGTTGGACATTCAGTACGTACCACGAACCTCAATTAAAGGAAAGGTGGTAGTAGAGCTGATTACAGAATTTGCAACAGAAGAGACGGAGCTCCCAAAGTCATACTGAGATCCCTAGTAGCCCCCTTGGAAGATGTATGTTGATGGATCTTCCAGCTCAACTGGAGGAGGATCAAGGATTAATACTCATTTCACAAGAGGAAGAAAAGATACAACATGCTCTATGCTTCGAATTCAAGCCCTCGAATAACAAAGCTGAGTATGAAGTGTTTGTTGTAGGTTTAAAGCTTGTGTATAGTGCTCGAGGTAAGATATTTGCAGGTGTATAGTGACTCCCAACTTTTGATAAGGCAAATTAAAGGAGAATATGAGGCTAGGGAATCTTAGATGAGTTCCTACCTAGCTTCGGCGAAAGAAGTTATACACAAATTTTATCATTTTAAGATTAAGCGGATCCCCCAATTAAGAATTCGCATGCCAACTCATTAGCAAGGCTGACATCAGCCCTATCAAATGACCTAGTAAGGTCCATTGCCATTGAGTTCTTACACAACCCAAGTACCCAAACCATGGATACTCAACCAGTAACAAAGGAGGCAAGCTGGATGTATGAGATATTCACTTATCTCCAGCACGATGTGCTCTCTCCCACCACATAGGAGGCTAGGAAGCTTTGCCAAAGGGAGGTTAGCTATATTATATTACATAGATTATTTTACAAAAGGGGGTACTCTCTCACCTATCTAAGATGCCTAACTCTTGAAGAAGTTGTGTATCTGCTAGAAGAGATACTTGAGGGAATTTGTGGAAATCACCTGGGAGGGCATGCGTTAGCTCTTAAAGCCTTAAGGCAATGTTAATTCTGGCCCACCATTAAGAGGGAGGCCCATTGTTATGTCGAAAAATGTGAGAAATGTCATAAGTTTGATGTTGTCCCAAAGTAGTTTCTCCAGGAGCTTGTTCCTATATCAAGTTCATAGTCTTTTGCCAGTTAGAGGATTGACTTTGTTGGACCACTCCGAATTGGGAAGGAACACAACAAGTTTGTTGTCGTAGCTATATATTACTTCATGAAGTGGGTGGAGGCAGAGGCGGAGCCTTTGGTAACCATTATTGAACAAAAGATCTAGAACTTCTTGTGGAATTTTATCGATTGTAGGTTTGTTATTCCCGTGGTCATAATAAGTGACAACAAAAAAGTGGTTTGACAATAAAAAATTCAGGATGTTATGTTCCGAGCTCAATATCCACATTCATTATTCTTCTCTTGGCCATCCACAAGTCAATGGGCAAGCTAAGGTTACCATCTACACGTTGCTCAAGAGTATTAAGACTAGGCTTGAACAATCTAAGGGGCTATGGGTGGAGAAGTTACTAAGCATTCTCTGGGCATACAAAATAATAGCCAGAGCCCTTACTGGTGAGACACCCTATTCCTTGGAATTTGGCACAGAGACGATCATTCCAGTTGAAATTGGGATGACCTCTTATCAGATAAAGAAATTCAACTAGCCAAAGAACGAGCAGCTGCTAGCTTGCAACTTTGATTGGCTGAAGGAGAAAGGAAAGAGTCACAGATAAGGTATGCTGCGTACAAGAGCATGATGACAAGGTACTACAACTCCGAAGATAAACCTTGGGAGTTTGTTCCAGATCATTTGGCCTTATAGAAGGTTATTTTAGCTACTAAATATCCCAAGCATGGAAAGTTGGGACCCAGCTGGGAAGGATCATGCAAAGTAGTGAAGGTTCAAAATCTAGGGACCTACCACTTGGAAAACTTGTAAGGAGTTGAGCTGCCACATCCGTGGAATGCTAATCACTTGAAGAAATTCTACCAATAGTCTCTAGCTTTCTAGTTAGAGTAGATAATAGCTTTCCACGTAATTAGTTTCAATAAAGCCATTTATGGCATGACTTTCTAATAAACAATATCATTCACGACTATCATCATTATTAAAAATATTTCATTGCTTTATAAGTCCCCAAATTCTTATTTCATGAATCTTTTATCTAAAGGATAGAGGAAGAACTCCCAAGCCTAAGCAGCTCTTTATCACTTCTCTGAGCTCTCCAGATTTGCACGATTCATAGGCTCTCAAGCCCAAAAGTTACTCTGTGCTTCTCCAAGATCTCACAATTTATGGCCCTATTAGAGTCAGGAATGCTCAAGTATTTTAGTATAAAGTTTAACAAAAATGCAAGAGGGGCGCCTCACAAATTACTTCTACAAGGGGGGAAATAGGATTGTGAGATTGCAAAAGGTTTGAGGTAATAACTTCTATTTCAATAAAAGTAGGTGCCATTAATATCTTGTTCTAAACAGAAGAAGAAGAAGACGAAGAAGAAGAAGAAGAAAGGGCAGATTAGCCCTTCCACACTTTCTAATTTAGCCCTATAATTAGTTTAAGGCCCAGCCATATTAGGAGGACCAAATAACATTGTTGACTCTATAAGCCTTTGCTCAACCGAGAAGAGATTTCTCCCTTGGCTTGCTTTTGGTCAATTGGCTCCCTCATCACCAGTTCTCTATTATCACCAAAAGCTACCCCTAAAGAGCCTACAACCACAAAGAATGAGAATATAATTGGTGCAAAGGAATTAGTAATAATAAAGGCTACTCACCTAAAGGGACCACCTTCTTATGAGGAATGGGATCAAGCCGAAAGGCAACAAGTCTCTCAATAATAACCAAGTTCATAAAAAACCTAGGGCCACCATCAATAGTACCGGCTATTGTTGTCAGTTCATACGAACCTAATCTAGGTCTATTCGATACAAAAACAGACAACAAATAACATGTGAGTAACAAAATAAAAGCAAGATTCTCAAGCACTTTATCACCCATGTTGGTTGGAATGTCCCAAAGTTGGGGGATATGAAGAGTCTCTACTGCTTCTCCCTCAAACTCCTAAGTGTTCTCAGAGACGAAGAAAAATCTGCTCTCCCAGCTAACACTAGGAGTAAGGAGGTCAAAAATCAACTCAGGCGCCCTATTACCCCTGATAAAGAAATAAAAACTAGGAGAAGCAAGAGCTAGATGAAAAAGATTGAGAAACTTAGCTATACTAGGAGAAGTTCCTAGCTCGTGAAGGCGCTAGATTACTAGAATCCCTACTAAAATTTCCCATCCCTGAATTAAGATCTTAGAGGGGCATAAATTGAAGAATTAGAGAATGGTCCTAGTAAATGTTGGTAGAGGGAACCTAAGACTTACTTTATAGGAAAAGTCAAAGAAGTAGACTCTCAGGCTCGAGTAAGTGTTGCACGGAGAGTTTGGACCGGGGATGTGAAAAGAAACCCCAGTATGGAAGCCATAATGTTCCTTTAAAACTCTCAATTCAACCATAGACATGTCACTGGATACCATGAGGGCAGAGTAGTTATAATCCTCAAAACTACAAAGGGCTCGTCTTTTGAAAAGTGTGATATCAGTGACCGTAAAATGGAATCTATTTTAATGAAGAACATAAAGGAAATAGAATTGCATATAGCAAATAAAGACACAAGAGAAGGTGCATGAAAAGTTGTAATGCAAGTATTTAAATAGAAACTTTTAAGTGATTATTCGCTTCTATAAATGGTAATTAATGTGACGGGTGATTAACCATCAAAAGTTTTATTTTATTATTTTTATTGATTGGTTAATTGCATATTATTTGTGATTAAATGCATTAGATTCCTTGATTTTCTAGTTGTTTGATTCATTTTGCAGGTAATTTGATTGATTTAAAGTATTCTAAAGGTTTTGATATTTCTTCAATATTTTAGTCATAACTTATTATCCCGATATTTGATTGACCTAATTTTTGTGGTAGTAGAAAGAAGACTTCAAGAGCTACAAAGTGTTTTCCATAAAAATTTCGTGAATTGCCCTCTAATTATGCAACCATTGAGCTCAAATTCTGAGAACATATGGTATCCACGCCTCCAAAATTTGATGCACAAGATTTGGCTTAAAAAGACTTCTTTTTGGAAAGGAATTTCTCTCAAGCCAACCCTAGATCTCCTACCTATACCTAGACTTTAGTATAAAAAAAGGTTATCATCTGTTGTGAGATTATCCTTTTCCCAACCTTTTTTTTTTCCCTAGTTTTTGGTGTATTTTTTTATGGGTTGCTATTAGCCCAACTAAGGTTAGGGGAGATATTTTTAATAAAGCAAGGTATTATTTTTTATCCAATATTCTTTTTAGTGCACAATTTATTCTTTTAATTTAATTCTTGTCTTTTATTAAAATTGGTTCTCTTTAGGGACATTGGCGGATAGGAAAAGGGGTGAAAGCCTTATAAAGGCATCCTAGCAGGTCGGGTTGGGTTAGATATTTCTTGACCTNTAATTTCTTGATTCGTTATGTGGTACATCAAATGCTTGGAATTCACTGCGAGTCAAATAACTGGTTATTTCATGCTTTAGTTAATTAATAGAATTTTCATAAATAGTTGATTTATTATTTGTAATAAAATTAAGATTTATCTGTTAGAAAGCTTGATTTATAGTAGACTTCAGGCACAATGAATGCTTGTGATCTACAAGTAAATATTTAGATTTATTTAGATGATTTATCAATTATACTTTTGGATATTTAATATATTACACCGCTAAATATTCTGATTGGGATCATGCTTCAATTGATTTTTAATTGAGTTCGAAAATTAGATGATTAATAATTGTCATGTAGATTTGAAAGGGTATCCCCAATGCTTTATTATTTTTAAAAGCATATATTTCTTTGTCTGTAATCACCGAATTTCAAGGTGTATACATAGAGCAAAAAGAATAAAACCAAAGTTCACTTTTTATTAGATATTAGGGAAGTACTTACAGTTAGGCTTTCTTGCACTTCAAACCCTTCATTCTTTTGCTAGGGTTTGATCCTACAATAGTCTATAGAAACCTTCATTCTTATAAACTCATGTCGTTGAAGCTATGGGCCAGTAGCCTCTATCGATACCATAGTCAGAAGAATCCCCATACCACTAAAGATAGAGCCTTACACTTGATGGAGAGGCAGTTATTTGTAAACCAAAAACCCAACGCATTGTACAATGTGAGATTCCAAGAAAACTGGAAGAAGGTCGAGAAATATTTCATCTACTGGAGGAGAAAAGTGCCAGATGCGAAAGCAGTTCCAGCCCCAAACGCTGAGGTGGCGTAGTGATAGGCGAGAACAATAACAACAGAAGTAGCGGAAGATCTTGCAGTAGTATACTCTGTTGTTTGCAATGTAATAGATTCAAGCGGCTAGGCTAGTAGATCTAGAGCAAATAGGCGTTGACTTAGTTGCTGTTGTAGTGGATTCTAATCTTGATGTTGATCTAACACAACTTTCTAGCGAAAAATAAATTTATTATTTCTTGATTTCAAAATCTCTACAACAAATTTTCCAAGCAATTTTTCTTTGTATTTCAAGTTTACACAATTTCCTATGGTTTGACTTCAGATTTTTGAGTATTATATTTCTTTGTGACAACCTGCACTTGGGTGATCAATTTTAAAGTTATAGTAACAGGTGTGCATTAAATGCACTTAAAGCCCTAGGTTAATGGCATCATGGGAATGAGATGACATACAAGTCTAGGTGCCAACCGTACCCAATGATGGCATGATTGTGCTGCTAGAATGTAACCATTGCATTCATGTCTTTTCACCATCATTTAGGAAATAGCTCATATTCATTAAGCTCCTCTATAATGATGAGCTCATTAGCCTTTCACTTAGCTCAAATTGAGTTCAAGAGACTCAATAGAAGCACAAGACAATTAGCCTAGCTTGGATTGAGTCCAATAGACTAATAGAAGCAGTAGGTGCTTAGCCTAGTTCACTGAAAATATCGAGGCAAGCCAAAACCACTCTTGGAGAAGGAAACACAATATCAAAACATTGAAAATTCATAAGAAAAACTGTTCATTAAAAAATTGGACACTGTTTCTCAAAGAAGGAATGAAGGTCAAAGTGACAAGCAAAAAAAGGCCGACAACCCTAGTGGGTCTCCTTATCTGGATCAATTTCTTCAGCGACATCTACGACCACTTCATCAGATTTCTCTTCCTCGGCAGTATCCACATAGTCTCCATGGCTAGCTCGGTTCCTTGCACCACATTTTTTTTTCCTTATCCTTAAGAGGCTTATTGTTCACATCCTCACCATCCTCTTTTTTTTTTTTTCACCACTAGCAATATTTGCCAAATCATCGCCAAGTCTAGGTGGGCGTATTCCTTATGGGTGCATTTCCTAAATTCATCAAAGTCATCCAGGTAATATTCAAGGACCTTTTCTTTGAAGTCCTTGTAGTGTTGATACTTCTTCACAGTAGTCTCCCAAACAAACTTAATTTCTAGCTCCTTCTTGCCTAGCACTAAGGAGAAATCAAGAATCTTTTAAGAGAGGGCCTTTTTCTCCTCCTCAAGTTCCTTGTTCCTCTTAGAAAGCTCAGTGGCCTCTGTCGTGGAATTAGTCAGTTTTATTAGTAATTCATTTTTGTCCTTCAAAGCTTTATCCCTTTCCTTTTCTACATCGGAGAGGTGGCTTAGTGTCTTCTCAGCATCCTTTATTGGACTCAGAATTTTTTCATAAGCCGCTAGTAGCTCGGCATCCCTCATCTCTAGCAAATAATGGATGGCCTCAAATTGCTCCTCATAGGCCTTCTTCTCGTCAAGGGTATTATAGAAATGGTTTCTTGTAAGGATGGAAAGATGGAAAAGAAAGGAGGAAGGTTAGAATGAAGTAGAAGATAATGAGGTGAGATTAAGAAATATATATGAGAGCCTCACATTCCCAAGAGTTAGAACCAGGTTCTTGGTCACCCTGTTTGGCCCAAGGTTGAAAATAGCCTCCATCTCCTCTACATGAACAAACTCGTGAAGCTTGGCCATAGCCTCCTCCACATTCATGATGTAGCAGACGAAGGATCCACAAGATGAAGACTTTAGGTTTGTCCTGTCCTCAACCGCCTTGAAAACTATAGCTTTGCCTTTGCCTTTGTCTTTTGGAGGGGCAAGAGGTTTCTCCACCAAGGGAGCCTTAGGAAGGGGATTATCTTCCTGATAAACGACCACTAGGTTGGCCTTTTCCTTAAAAGAAGGAGTCATTGGTAGGGAGTTAGAGCTCGGGGATTTTCCTTTATCCTGAATGGGATTCACCCTTGGCCTCTTATGCTGAGGTGAGTTGGCATTATAGGACCTCATAGCTGAAATCTTTTGAAGCATTTTCTTGTCAATTGGCTTAGGAACCATGGTTGGAGTAAATGAAAGACAAAAAAAAATGAGCTATAGATGTGCATAGGCTAGAACAAGAATTGCAATGATAAAGTTATACTTTTAGAAGAGAAGGCTATTGGAGCTGGAGGATCAGAGGTAATGGGAAAAGGGCCTAACTAACACTCAAAGAGGGTTTGATTACTCAAGAGATTGGAAATATCCTTGGTAGGATAGTCAAGAGCCTTCTTGGCATATAGCTTTAGCTCGGGAGGCAATGGCTTTGATTTACTTGCGTTTCAAGAAAGATGAAAGTTGAAAAATTCAATAAAGATCCGAAATAGATGAAACTAAAGAAAATCTACTTACTAAGAGAAGGGGCAAGAGTTTTGTATAGACGAGGAACTAAAAGGGGTATGCTGGAAAGGGCCTCTGATAGGGCAAATTTCCACCTAGTCCTAGAGATAAAGAAAAACTTGCCTTTCCACTCTTTCTCGTTTGAAGAATAGCTTGTTAAAATGCCCATTCATTCCCACTTCGAAAGGTAAAACCACCTTAGCTCTTTCCCTAAGCTAAAGGTGATTTTGTAACAATGCATGAGCTTGGTGAGGGTAGGCTGAACCCCAATAGCATTGGTCCTAGCCCAAATGACACCAATACCAACCAAAAACCCTAGCTATTTGGGGTTAATTGAGCAAGAGCAAGATTCAAGAAATGGAGGGCCTCTCTAATATACTTGGGCATTGGAAAATGAAGTCCAGCCTTGAAGGTAGATTCATAAAAGCATACCTCATTAAGACTGAAAGAGTTCGCAGTTTTGTCAAAAGAAGGGACCCTAAGGTTGACCGAATCGAGAATTTGGTATGAAGCCCTAATTTCCTTAAGGCATCCTCGTCAACGAAAATTCAACAGAGTTTGGTTTGAACAACCTTGAGGGATGGAGAGCCAATCTCCAATATGGAGTTGGAGTCCTCATTGGTTGCATCGACCTAGGACACTAGCACCAGGGTATTCTTCAAAGGTGTGTGCTTAGAATCTATCACCATAATGGGGAAAAAAGATGATTGATGTATAAATTTGCAAAGGTAAGAAATTATGGTTATGGGTAAGTAGAGAAATGTAAGAGTCAAGCATCGACTCTAGCCAGACTTGGGTAGATCTATCTACAATGAACCCAAGATGATCAAGGTTGGAATTCCTGCACCGAAGGAAACATAAGTGATAAAAATGAAATTGGAACGTGTGACTCTAACCTATGCTCCCTGATGACGAGTTTGGGGAAACAAAAAGAGTAAAGACGATTTCTTGCTGCTCTTGAAGACATGCTAGAAAGTGATGGGGAAAAAGTGTTTAAGTATTGCCCCACAATAGTCTTGTTGTCGTTTACACATGCACTATTCACGTTCCCACTTCCCATGGTACTAACGAACAAGTGTAATAAATCTGTGGCAAGTGCAATTTATATGGGTTTGAATTGAGGACAACTAATGATGGTAAAACAAACACGAGTTAGGCAACTCAATAGAGTCCTAGTTCAACACAATTTGACTAATTCAAAACCAATTGAGACTCCTATGCCATTGGGAGTCCATTTCAGCTCCAGTTTTGATGTTGCCTTTATTCAAATAAAGGATAAGAACCCTCCAATGGCCAAATCTGCTAGCCTATAAAAGGGATAAGCTAGGGATCATCCATGTAATTCTTCACTCTCAACTAAATACAATTACTATCAATAATTCCTCTTTGACTTTATCATCGGAGGGTCAATCACTATAGCCCCTCCAATCCTCGACTTCTCTTGTAAGGACTCACCCAAGACGATCAACGAGTAATTCAACTCAACCATTTCCCCCAGAGCTCGGTGTGCAGTTTTCGACATCAATAAATGTTACTAACATGAGTCACGCAACACCATCAACACCATGAATCCTATAGATTTGCAACAATAACTAATGGTTTTCTTGAATGCAACGATTGACACAACCTTTCAATGATGTATGGTGGAGAAGAGAGATAAAAGAAAGAATAAAAGGGCAAGAGAAGAATAAAACAGTAGCGGAGAAGAGAGATAACATAGATAGGATAAAAAGGAAGAAGAGGAACTAAATGAGAGTAATTGATGGAAGTGAGAGAAAAGAAAAAGACTTATATGAAATAGATATGAGGGAGGGAAAATTCTTTAAATAAGATGAGAGATAAAATAGTGGTATAGAAGAGATAGGTGAAAGAGGGGGGAATCCAAATAAGAGATAGAAGAGAGAAGGACGACTGAGAGAGGAGAGAGAAATAGTAGAATGAAAGAGAGAATAGAGACAAAAGAATTGAAGATCACTGAGTTGTTGGTCTAGTGAGTAAGAATTTGAATTCCCTCACTCAATGCTTAAGTTTGATTCTCCACAGTTATGACAGATATACTTTTCAGCTTCTAGAGCATGCGGGGAGACATTAATTTTGACCCCAACATAGGTGCTTAGGAGTAATACTCCCTGACAAATATGTGGAGTGACCTAATTACATATCCATTTTATGCACCAAAATTATAAATAAAAAAAATTGAAGGAAGAGAGGTGAGATAAGAATAGTTAGACAGAAGATATAGGAGATAAGGAATAAGAATAGATAGAGTAATTGAAAGAAGAGTATGCTTATCATTAATAATACAAAAAGTTATAATTGTTACCACACAACTCAAATGATGCAAGCACATGTCTTAAAGGCTTAAAAACTCGGTGTTTGTACATACTGATATAAAACTTCTAGTTTTCATTTTCAAAAATGCATTACCCACGACCTTCGATTCGGGCCTATCGGCCATGTCCTCCGCTTTAATAGTAAAGGCTTACAAATATTGTAATTAGAACGCCAAGGTTTTTCGTTAGACTGAGTGTGAAAGGGAGTGAAATATAAGAGATGCACAAAATCCCTCCTTCCCTCTTTGGCAAATGGTATTTCAAATTGTCCACCAAGGACAAGTTGGAATAAGCCAATGGGAAAAAAAAAAGCGCACCGAGAGTTCCAACAAATTTTAGAAGTATTTAATTACTTACCAAACAATTAAGTTGGGTTGTACCGTATCGTATATGATAGTTGTCATTTTAAATTCTTGTATTAATCAACACTCTCTGTATATTTCAATACCAGTTTGATTTATTTATTAATTACGTTGTACTTGGATCCCCCACATCTTTGTTGAACCACAAATCAGCTTCTCTTTCAACCAAATCCACTACTATGCAAGAAAAAGCGGAACAAATTTAGGCATTCTCTTCATTTAATATCAGTTAAATAATTTTGCAGTGTCATAATTAAGTTAATCATATTTAAACAAATTGTGTAAAGTAATTATAAATTGTGTCATTTTCAGTTTACATCAATAACCAATTAACCTTAAATTGCTGATTTTTTAAAAATTACAATTCCTAGATTCCATTGGTTGCCTTTTTATTGTGAACTAGAAGCTTCCACCGGTCTGTGGTGGTCTTACATACCTTAGTTTCCGTACTTGGCCACTGCTATGATCTGCCCATTATGTCATTGGATCGTCTGTTTTTTTTTTTTCTCTCCCGTTTCATTGATTCATGCCTTTTTTAGGACCACAAAAGGATATTGCCGTGGTTCATGAGTCCTTATCCTCAATTATTGAAAAAAAAACCTACTCATGTTTCGGACATTTATTATCTATTCTAATTGATCGTATTATTGTCGAGTCTCGTATCATATCGGATTCGTATCGTGTTATTGTCAACAAATAGACACCTTAGTTTGCATATCATGTGATATAGAAAGAACACGAGTTAGAATTTCTCAGATAGGGTTCCAGAGCTATTTTGGGTTATTTTTTCTCCTACCTAATTGCCAGATTAGACACTTTCTTTTTTTGGTTATTCTTGATGGACTGGGAACTCTCTCATGATTTATCATAATATAAACATAACTACATACAACTATTAATGACTCAGGAATAACTTAAGAAAATTTCAACACAATGCGTCCAAGACAAAACAAATCTAATCTAACCCGACACACTGTTGTGGGGGTCCAATGGAATGTTGATCTGTAAGGGATGAAACCCTCAACTCAGGATTTCGGCTTGACCTCCGCGCGTTCGGGAGTAGCCTTTACCCCTCTTCCTGAGCCGAAGCCCTGGCCTAGCCTAATGTGGGGAGGGCGCACCGTATCCCACATCGGAAGAGAGTCGTTTTCCCCCCTCGCATATAAGCCCTTGCACTCAAAGGAGGAGGTACCCACTAGTACCTGATCAGGTGCCTTATGTAAGGGATGAAACCCTCCACTCAGGATTTCGGCTTGACCTCCGCGCGTTCGGGAGTAGCCTTTACCCCTCTTCCTGAGCCGAAGCCCTGGCCTAGCCTAATGTGGGGAGGGCGCACCGTATCCCACATCGGAAGAGAGTCGTTTTCCCCCCTCGCATATAAGCCCTTGCACTCAAAGGAGGAGGTACCCACTAGTACCTGATCAGGTGCCTTATGTAAGGGATGAAACCCTCCACTCAGGATTTCGGCTTGACCTCCGCGCGTTCGGGAGTAGCCTTTACCCCTCTTCCTGAGCCGAAGCCCTGGCCTAGCCTAATGTGGGGAGGGCGCACCGTATCCCACATCGGAAGAGAGTCGTTTTCCCCCCTCGCATATAAGCCCTTGCACTCAAAGGAGGAGGTACCCACTAGTACCTGATCAGGTGCCTAGTGGGTACCTCCTCCTTTGAGTGCAAGGGCTTATATGCGAGGGGGGAAGACGACTCTCTTCCGACGTGGGATACGGTGCGCCCTCCCCACATTAGGCTAGGCCAGGGCTCCGGCTCAGGAAGAGGGGTAAAGGCTACTCCCGAACGCGCGGAGGTCAAGCCGAAATCCTGAGTGGAGGGTTTCATCCCTTACATGATCTTAACTCGTAAATCAATTGTTTGTACGTGAAAGCTTGAAACATTTTAACAAAAAAGTAAGTAGCTACAATGAGCAAGTGAAAAGCGAAATGAGAGTAGAAGAAAAACCACTACTTCGATCATGATGCTATTAGTATTCCCTATTCGAATAGGAAAATGGAGAAGAAACTGCGAATTTTTTATTGATTAATAAGGAGGGTCAAGAAACTGTGACCTTGCAAGCCACTTGTAAAAGACAATACAATCCCACTTGTTGGTTGCCCACCTGTAGAACATACCATCCACAACATTTACCTTTTGCCAACCTGTCATTTGCTTTTCACAGTGTTTTCTAAATTCCATTTTATAGTCTCCCTAAGTGCATGATAAGATCCGAGATGATTCTCTTTAATCACTTATTAATCCCCCTCTAATCGCTATTTCGTGCAATCACGGTCCTCATCGGCTCCAACTTTTTCTCTTTCTTTATGCGATGAAATCCGGCCAAGGGCTCCATGATTTGCAAGTAGACCGATTGCAATCTGTCCATGTCCAATGGATTAGGGTTTCTGTGTGGTTCCTAATTAAAATTACATAATTGATAGTCCATATAAAAAGTTGATTACTGGGTTAAAAAGGTTAAAATTATGTCAATTGAGGATGTAAATTTTCGATGAAAATGACATGATATGGAAAAACTAGTAATAAATGTGTTGACTAAGGAGCAAACTCAAGTAAATTGATTTTGACACGATGCACATAGTTTAAGAATAATGCTATTTAGACTTAAAAATCTTGTCTAATTTGTTGACATAATGATGTTGTTTCATAGGAATCATTAGATCAACACTAAGTTTCAATGTTTGATAGAGTCTACAGTCAATTCAAAGGTCATAGTGAATCAGATCAACAAATTATATTAGTAGATTAGTACCAATAGTATTGCTCTTTAAATAATATTATATATAAAAAAATATCTATTTTTTAGTTCGTATAGTAATGTATGAATCGGCGAAGAACTAAATAGTGTTGGACTTGGTTAAAAGAGAAATGGATCCTAAATTTTAAAATCTTGTGAAAATTGGGAATGAGTCATTTTAGATGAATTTATAATGACATGAGTCCAACAAATAAATTTATTTGGGAGTAAATCCGTTTTTAATCTTTATCTTCAAAAGTTATGAAGATTGACCCAAATCAAATACAACTCAAATATGACTGAAGATAACACCAATCTAGACCTTACATAGCATGGTTGGAGTGCCACCCAAAATTTGAATTCATAACTGCAATTTGTCCTTATAAATATTTACCCAAAAGTACATTAATGAAGTATTTCTTGATGGTGATATATCTACATGACAGTTGTTTGCAAGTTGGGGGGGGGGGGGGGGGGGTT